AAGGTGTTTCAGCTTCTTTTCTTGTCAATTTCTGCATGGAAAAGTGGGGGTTTATATCAAAGGAAGTAGAGATTTATTCTTCTATTACTACATTCTCAATGCTCTCATAAGGTATGAAATTATTGTTGTTAATGATAAAAGATTATCAATAAGACATATTCCAAACAAACAATATTCTTTAAGTTCATAAAATGATGATCAAGTATCCATATAGTTGAAACATATATAACGTATATTACATAGTCATGCACATAAAGTTCATGTCACATTAATATATAATTACAAATATAAAGGTCCTCCACGGACTCCCTTACCTCGTTTCTAACAAGTTTTATTAATTTATTACAGTTTGAACTCTAATGTTTCAACAAGTCTAAAATCAAACACCAAAGTACATACAATAGAACAAAAACATAATAGAAAATTAGATTTTAATCCTTAAATAAGATGAAGTTTAGAAAAATGTCTTATACAAGATTAAAAATTGATTTTAGTCCTTAAACTCTATTTAATGCCAGCATATATGTTCAATGTCTCTCTTTTTTATTTATAATTTTATGATGTTCATAAATTAAATTGCATGAAAATATTATAAATTTTAATTCTCATTATGGTAAGTATCTTATATATGAAAATATTTTCGTAGAGATTTTTCGGTGTACTTATATTTTTGCATATTTTCTTATGTGCCACTAATCAATTACAACATATTTAGGTACAAACATTTCGGTGCACTAGATTAGTATAACATGTTTAGGTACGGACATTTCGGTACACTAGTTTAGTATAATATACTTGGGTGAGTTTAGTATTATATATTTAGGTACGGAATTTTCGGTACAGTTATGTTTTTGCATATTTTCTTTTGTGCTACTAATTCACTACAATATATTTAGATACGGACATTTTGGTCTACTAATTTAGTAAAATATATTATGATACGGACGTTTAGGTACACTAATTTGAGAAAGTTAAATAAAATTCATGAATTAAAATGTATATAATAACAAATTTAAAATTTAATGCGATGACATTAAATATGATATTTATTAAATATTAAAACAAAAATATAATATGAATTTGAATTAAGTACACATTAAAAAAACTAAAATCAATATCCAATGTAATACCAGATTTTTATTAAATTTTAATTTTCTTCAAGAATTAAAGTTCAAAAACCCAAAACATAATAACAAGCCAATCAGTGATCGTCCGATTTTTTGAGCTTAATAAGGTTAGTGATAAACAAACAATGTCGTCAGAGACCATTCCACACCTGTGTATACACATGAACTTGTGTGACTGGTAATACTTGGTACTGACTACTCAATTCACTCACTATAATATGTATCCAAATAAGATTGTAACAAGTGTCCATTTATACTTTCTCAAATCACTGTAACCAAACACAAACTTTCTCCTTCCTCCACCATAGATCTCAACCCTAGTCCCCTTCTCCTCCGTCGAGCACACACACACACTTGTTCCTCCAACATTTTTGCTTATAATAGCCCAAATCGAATCTGACCTTATCACCACCAGCCTCCCTCCTTGGAAAATCTCACAGTTCCCTAGTAATTTCTAGACTTATTCTCTCTCTGGTCAATAGATTCAGTATCCAAATTTAGTTGAAAATCTTGTTTAATCGAGGGTCAGGTGCTGGTTTGGTCGGATTTGCAGAGGAATGGCGACAATGGAGAAGATAGTTTGGGGACGAGAGTGGTTCGACGGAGGATGAAGGTTGGAGGAGGGGGCTAGGATGGGATCCGGTGAAAGGCTTCGAATTTGCATATTTGCCATCGCATGGATTAAGGTAGGAGAAAGTGGGTGTTTGGTTGTTAGTATAGTAAAGAGTTTGAGAAAGAATCAAATAGAGGTGTTACAATTTTATTGGGCCACATATTATGGTGAGTAAATTGGATGCTGACTAGTCAGTACCCAAAAATTGCCAGGAGCCGCTTGGTTGGTCGCTCTGCTTGGATGGTAGATTCGGGATTTTCAGACCGAGTGTTGCAGCTTGAACAGGCAGCCGCGTCGAGCACGTCGATTGGACTGGCTGGAGCCGACAGCGCCGATCCGGTACTTGGCTGTTTATGGTGAGACACAGACACGTGTCGAGCAGGTACTCCTCCATGAGTTGGTGACAGCTTCTCACCCTTTCCTGTCCCCAATAAAAATGAGAAAATAAATATTACCGCGAGATTTCTCTTCACAGGTTTCTATGTTTTCCCAACTCTTCGATTTTGACTAAAACGAAAAATTAATTATTCATAAGACAACCAGAAAATATCATAAATTGTAAAAACTGTAAACCTACAGAAATGTAGTAAGATAGAGAAGAGATTCAGAGAATTTAGAGAGAGAGAGAGAATGAAAACTCTTGTATATTTACTTTCTTAACAACCATACAAGTACACATATCAGTATATATACACTTCTCACTATCTCTAACAACTTAACTAACTAACTGCCTCTCTAATATTCATACACATGGTAAAATCTCAGCCACACATCCTATCTCTATCATCCTCCCTCAAGCTTATGCCTCGAAGGTCCGAGCATAAGATTGGTACAATGAAAACGAAACAAATGAGCACTGAGGCCTTTGGTGAAAATGTCAGCAAACTGCTCCTTTGAGGACACAAACTGCACCAGAAGCTTGTGTGTAGCTACTCTCTCTCGAACAAAATGGATATCAATTTCAATGTGTTTGGGGCGTTGATGTTGCACCGGATTAAAGGACAATGCAATAGTGGAAAGATTATCACAAAATAACACAGGAGGGGCAGAGATTGGAAGGTGAAGAAAGGCAAGAATTTGTTGAACCCAATCAAGCTCGGCGGCTGTAGAAGATAAGGCCCGATACTCAGCCTCAGTGGAGGACCTTGAGACAGTTTGTTGCTTCTTGGAAGACCAAGAAATGGGATTATTTCCTAAGAACACAACCTGGCCGGATGTAGAACGGCGATCATTAGGATCACCTGCCCAATCCGCATCACTAAAGGCATGTAATGCCAAATCTCCACGGGAATAAGAGATACCAACATCCATGGTGCCATGCAGATATCTCAAAGTCCTTTTTACAGTAGTGAAATGGGATGCCATCGGATTCTGCATAAACTGAGACACTTGATGCACAGAAAAGGCAATGTCGGGCCTTGTGAATGTAAGATACTGCAGAGCTCCAACCACACTCTGATATAAGGATGGATTAGAATAAGGCTCACCATCATCTTTTAACAGCCTGTTGTAGGGGAGACAGGGTGTATCACATGCCTTGGATTCAATCATATCTGTCTTAACAAGCAACTCCTGAATATACTTTTGTTGTGACAAAAAAAGACCATTGGAAGTCTGAGAGATTTGAATCCCCAAAAAGAAGTGAAGAGGACCTAAGTCCTTTATATCGTACTCGGAGGTTAAAGCAGCGATCACTTGATGTATCTCAGTGGTGGCACTCTCTGTGATGATAATATCATCAACATATAACAATAATATCACAATGTGAGATCCAACAGTTTTCACAAATAAGGAAGAATCAGAGTAAGTAGTGCAAAATCCCAATGTAGGCAAAAAAGTAGTAAAGCGATCATTCCATGCCCGTGGGGCCTGCTTCAATCCATAAAGAGATTTGTGCAATTTGCACACCAAGGAAGGATTAGATGGATCCTCAAAGCCAGGTGGCTGAGCCATGTATACCTCCTCTTGAAGAATGCCATGTAAGAAGGCATTCTTGACATCAAGTTGGCGAAGAGACCACTTGAAGTGAGCAGCAAGTGCTAGAACAATTCGGATAGTGGTGGGTTTAACAACAGGACTATATGTGTCACTGTAATCAATACCAGGTTCTTGACTGAATCCTTTAGCAACCAACCTAGCCTTATGCCTTGCAATTGACCCATCTGAATGCCTCTTTATTTTGAAGACCCATTTGCACCCTACTAGATTCTTATGAACTGGTAAGGGAACCAAACTCCATGTTCCTTGACCATGTAATGCACTAATCTCTTCTTGCATGGCTTGAAACCAAACTGAACTTTTAAGGGCTGATTTATATGTTGAAGGTTCACAGAAGGACAAATCCACATCCTTAGAAGCAGCAAGGGCAGACAAAAACACCTTTTTCTTACTGATACCATTTTTACTCCGAGTCTGCATAGGATGGAGATTGAGAGGTGGTATGGAAGTAACCACCTGAAGTGTGTCAGGACTATGATCAAGTACCACAGGGCTATTGTTGTCAAAGATTGCACCAGTAATGGACTGAGAAGGTTGCTGTGTGGTTGGTGATGGAGTAGGACTTGGAGAATTAGACAAAGAATGACTGGTATGAGGATCTGGAGGCATGATTGTGACAACATTTTGTGGTGTAACTATAGGAGGAGAAAGTGGAGTATCAAAAGGCAGAGAACATGATGATTTGGAATTGGTATGTGCCAATAAGTCTTTATAAGGAAAATCATGTTCACTGAACACAACATGTCTAGAAATAAAAAACCGGTGTTGAGAAACTGCATAACATATGAACCCTTTATACTTGGATGCATAACCCAAAAATATGCATTTTGTTGTTTTTGGTTGAAGTTTGGTTATGTTATATGGTCTAAGAAGAGGGTAACAAGCACAACCAAAGGTTCTTAAGTGTTAAAGCACTGGAACTACACCATACAGGACTTCAAAGGGAGATTTATTGGATAAATTGGGTGTAGGCATCCGATTAATAAGATAGATGGATGTTTGACATGCAAAAGACCAAAACTTAGAGGGTAGGTGAGCTGTTTGAAGTAATGTGATTGCTGTTTCAATAATATGTCTGTGTTTTCGTTCAGCCATGCCATTTTGTTCTGGAGTGTAAGGACAGGATTTTTGGTGTAAAATGCCTTTGTGTAAAAGGAATGACTGAAGGGGTTTACTTATGTACTCACCACCACCATCACTTTGCAATATTCGTACTTTTGCAGAAAATTGAGTGAGAACATAAGCATAGAAACCAATAAAGGTAGCACAAAGATCTGATTTATTCACCAAGGGAAATATCCAAGAGTACTTGGTACATTCATCAATAAAGGTAACATAGTACCTATATCCATCCACAGACACACAAGGTGCAGGACCCCAAAGATCACTATGCACCACTTCAAAAGGAATGACGGATTTATTGACACTTGGTGAAAAAGGAAGCTTGCAAAATTTACCTTCTAGACAGCTTTGACACATTACAGGACTAGAGGTTTTAGGGAATACAACATTGGATTTATGCAGCATGTGAGACACTACAGAATTAGACGGATGTCCTAGTCTATTATGCCAGGTGATGTGGTTAACAAACTGACTAAGAAGAGCTTTATTATGAACCAGGCTTTGAGAAGCTGGAGGACAAACATTGGCGAGGGAAGAGATGGGGTATAGACCATTACTGCACAGTCCTTTGTAGAGGATCATCCCTGTGGCCTTGTCCTGGATCCAAAAACAGAAGGCATTAAAGATAAGCCAACAGTTATTGTCTAAGCAGAGTTTGTGAACTGATAACAAATTCTGTGATACTTTAGGCACATATAAAACAGAATTCAACTTGATAGGATGTATGGAAGGCTTGATAACAGCGTTACCAATATGAGATACATGCAAACCTTCACCATTGGCGGTCTGAATAACCTCAGTAGTGGGATACGGAGAAGCCAGAGATAAGGTGGAGAGATCGGCAGTCATATGATTGGTTGCGCCAGAGTCCGTGATCCACACTTGGGAAGGAGATGGAGACGCATGTGACGGATTTGGTTGTGAAACCATAGTATGATAGGCATGTAATGGAACCTGGGATGAAGCTTGTTGTCCAGGAAACGGTGAGTGAGGCCTGTGTTGTGCATAAGCATCAACCGGAGAAAATTGATACCCTTGCTGTGAATGTGAAGACATTGGAGAGGAAGTCAAGTGAGCTCCACCAATATAATTAGGACCCTTCTCATTATAGAAGCAAAACCAAGTATTGTGATTGAACCTCCCACAAATTTGACATCTTGGCTTCTCAGGTGGCGCAGAAGGAATAGGCTGTTGCGTATATGGAAACTGACCAAGTATACCAGGACTTGGAGTTTGAAGCACATGAGTTTGAGTAGGCATGTACTGTCTAGGGGAAAAACCTCTGGAGTGTTGATTAAATCGACCTTTGCCCTTGTTCTTATTGGCAGTGAACTGCTTGAAACCACCAGATACAAAACCAGATTGAGGTGGCCCTCGCTGAGGTGAAGCATTAGCAACCATGGCTGTCATAAACGGTGCATTAACAGAGGACTCGAGAATGGCTTCTTCAGCAAGCAACTATGTCCGAAATTCTTTCAAAGATATGACACTTTCACGCCCCCTTATCACAGTCCGGAATGTATTGTACTCTGCTGGTAAGCCATTCAATGCAAGCATAACGATGTCTTCATCAAGAAACAAAACCCCAGCAGCAGAAAGATAATCTCTAGCTTCTTTTATCTTCTGTAAATACTGAGTAATAGAATCAAAGCCCTTTCTAATTTTTGCAGATTCGATTTCATCTGAAATATGCTAGTCTTTGAGACAGTGGAAAATTGTTCTTGTAATCGAATCCAGAGATCCCGTGAACTAGTGCTTCCAATAGCACAGGACATAGCCACCGGGCTCAACGACGCAGTAATTAATTGCATCAGGGCTTTATCATGCATCATCCAAACTAGATACTCATCATTAACAGAGGACGATGATGAATGGGATGAATTGGTACCAGATTCTCCAGATGGAGATGTAAATCGAACAGGACAGGGATGCGAGCCATCAACAAACCCTAGGATTCCATTACTTTCAAGCAGTAATTTCATTTGAAAATGCCAATTTAGATAATTCGAATCATCCAGTTTAACATTCACCGAAGTAGAGATCGAAGAAACCAATGCAGTTATTGGTGATTGAAGAAGCTGTAATTGAGAAGCAGTTACCATTGTTGCTATATGACGGCTGTAATTTGGCAGAAAAAATCACTGAGAACACACAACAAACACCTGGAGTGCACAAAGTGGAGAAGACGAAGTCGCAACCGAAATCACAGTTGCAGAGCCTTAGGGACGAAGAAAACCCTAGAGTAGAGAGCAGGCGAAGTAAAACCGATCAAGAACCAGAAACAAGAAGCAAGAACACCAAGATCGATCGAAGTATCAGAGCGGCGGAAGACGAAGATCGAGATCAAGCGTGAGCTTTCATGGCGATTGATACCATGTAAACCTACAGAAATGTAGTAAGATAGAGAAGAGATTCAGAGAATTTAGAGAGAGAGAAAATGAAAACTCTTGTATATTTACTTTCTTAACAACCATACAAGTACACATATCAGTATATATACACTTCTCACTATCTCTAACAACTTAACTAACTAACTGCCTCTCCAATATTCATACACATGGTAAAATCTCAGCCACACATCCTATGGCGATCAAGTTGAATTCTGTTTTATATGTGCCTAAAGTATCATAGAATTTGTTATCAGTTCACAAACTCTGCTTAGACAATAACTGTTGGCTTATCTTTGATGCCTTCTGTTTTTGGATCCAGGACAAGGCCACAAGGATGATCCTCTACAAAAGACTGTGCAATAATGGTCTATACCCCATCTCTTCCCTTGCCAATGTTTGTCCTCCAGCTTCTCAAGGCCTGGTTCATAATAAAGCTCTTCTTGGTCAGTTTGTTAACCACATCACCTGGCATAATAGACTAGGACATCCGTCTAATTCTGTAGTGTCTCACATGCTGCATAAATCCAATGTTGTATTCCCTAAAACCTCTAGTCCTGTAATGTGTCAAAGTTGTCTAGAAGGTAAATTTTGCAAGCTTCCTACACCCGCTTCAGATATGAGGAGGATCCTGTGCAAATCCACTAGGAATCCTTGAGATATCTACATTTTAATTATTTATTGTATATTATATGATTAATTTTCATCTGTTACTATTTATGTTTAATTTTAAATAAAAAAATTAAATAATTTATAATCATACGATGATGAATTGTTAAGATGTAGAGTTACCTACAATTCCCACAAAATGGATCCGGATGGGATCCAATTCCCGGCAAATACTATACTTTGTTCACTCTCTCGTAGAAAAACGGCGCCCCTTGGCGATCTCCATCGGCCACAAAATCGACGCTTAAACCGGCGGCGCAGAGCACAGCCGCCCCCGCAATCGTCGATGGAGAGAAACCCAAGAAGTCAATCACTGAGAAAACATCAAAAACCCAACTTAAACGCCGAAAATCCAGAAAACTAAATAAAATGAATGGGTTTTATTACTCGGGTAGTGAATCAGTTAAAATACCACGAATGGTGCTGAGAACTAAATCGGAGGAGGCTGAGAGGAGAGAGGAGGACGAAGAGGAGAGGTCGGAGACAAAATGGTGGAGGAAATCGAAGGGGGTGATGGATCGGAGCCTCCAATTGAGAATCCACATGACCCGGAGCTCCATCCGCTGGACCGTTTTGGGGTCGAAGACAAACTTGGGCTCGAAGATTTGGAGGTCCAGGATGAACTGGACCTTTGGCTCCCCCATTTTAGCGGCTAAAGACAAACACGCGACGGACAGCAGCTTAGACGGCCACGACCCGCTATGTCGCTGCAACAAAACATGAAATGTATTAAAAAGTCAAGGATCAGACACGTCAGCATTCGAAAATGCTTTTCTTTTCTTTTTTTTTTTCTGGAAAAGTGTTACCGGGAGAGAGTGGGAGGAGAGGAAGCGGTCGAAGTAGTTGACGGAGAGGAAGGCGGTGAGGGGAGAAAAGCGGTGGTGGGCGTGGACATTTAGGATCCAGTTGATGGAGTCCTGGCGGGCGATGATATCTATTGTACAGTCGCGGAACCGAGTGATGTAGGTTGGGGAGGGCATGTGGTTGGGCTCAGAGTCGATCAAACGGGTGAGGATAGAGCTGATGGTGGGGAGGGCATGTTATTTAGGAATTAAATTGGTAAACTAATTTGGAATTCGTAATCATAGTACTCTTTAAGAAATACTACAATCATTGCTCATACGCGACCTTGATGATCCTAAACCATTGATGCATTATGTATCTTTATATTAAACTTTTGAGTATTTTTCATCCTACATCGATATATATTTAGGGAGAACAAAATTCATATGAAGTAGTGCCATAAACATGATTACAAATAACTAAATGTAAGTTTTTATAAGGTTTAGCGAAATTTGAAAAAAGTATTTCATGGACTTTGGCATTTTTTAATACAAACAGTATTTTAATTAATAAATTTGTAGATTATGGCAATTAGAACTTGGATGTAAAAGAGAATGTTGTTAAATAAAAATAGTTACTAGAGTTATCTATAGTGAAGTTAGGAGATGTGTCAAAATATTAGCAAAGAGACACAAAAGAGATACAAAATGGGACAACAAACCTGAAGCCCCCAATTAGTGGCTTAGTAGTCAATGAATGAGTATCGATTGAGCTATAAACTTAAACGTTCAAACGTTCTAGATCTGAATCTTTACAACTAAAAAATTATCCAGTTTTTTATATGAGCTTATATTGAATGAGAGAATCCTCTTTCTAATACATTGGGGGTGAGATTGGTGTAATAACTTGGTTTAGTCCTAACCGTAATAACTTGGTTTAGTCCTAACCTTTCTTTTGTTCACCCCTAGCTTATTTACATTATGAGATATTTCATGTATAGAAATAAACCAAGCTATTCACCATTATCTTTTTAAGGGTAAAAAATAAAAATAAAAATAATTTATAGTGAATTTACTATTCATGAATAATGAATTGTCTGGAATCTAGAATGATGGTTACTGCTTTCGGTGCTGTAAATGACATGTTTCCTATTGGGGTCACATGCTTAGTTATTGTGTCTTCACATGTTTGAATTATTCAAAGATCGAATGGGTCCTGGGAATCCTGATAATATGCTGCTTGAGATTTTTGACTTGCTGAATTGGCTGGATGCTGTGAGGATGCGTCTGAGGCGTCAGAGTCTGAGTCTTCGTCATGGAGCAAAACTGCTTCTGCCATTAACTGTTGGGCTAAATCTTTGAGCTGGGATGATTTTTCTTTCTTCTTTGAACTTGTTGATTTGGATGACTTGGTTGTTCCTTTGAGGGATGAAGACGGACTAATGTTTAATAAAGATTGTTCTAGAATGGTTGGCAACGCCATTGTTGGTTGTGCTGGAATAACTGGAACTGGAGTGATGGGAAACTCTGAGAGGACCAGATTAATGATCTTCTAATGATTGAATTTATCCCACCACTTGACTGACCTTGATCTGTAGACTTCACCGATTTCAACTTCATAATTTCACTTCAAATCCACGGGACTTTGTACTTGGCCATGAATAATGAGAGAAGTGTAATTCTGTAGTTAAATTGGCTCAAATTTCTTCTGGAAACCAGTTGATAAGACTTGCATGAGTTCTTCTAGTAAGAGGCTGGCTGTTGGGTCATGAACAGACCACCATTTTGGGAACCATGCTGGGAAATTCAACCTGAAACTCTTGTCAAAATTGATAAACCTTGAATGACTAAAGTTTTCTGTTTGATGAAGGAAAATGTTAGTCCATGCTTGAATGTAATCAAAATAATTGTAATGGTTATTGGGAATGAGAACATGCTGTGTATGAAGTGGTTTGTCCTGGTAGAGGGGGAGTCCTCATTCTGATTCAGTTAAAAACTTTCCAATGTAAAGAGAATGGTAAATGATTTTGTTTTCATGGGTTTTGCTATCAAGTGCTTTTATTGAAATGGATTCAGTTTCACTGAGAATGGCTTGATAATATTTGAGAGTTTTATATGATTCGGTATGCTGATAATGAAAATTGGGTGGAAAACTGTTTTAGCTATTTTTTCTGGTGCTTGTTCTTGGTGGATGTTGAAAGGGATGCTGAAAAGATATTCATTGGGGTTTTTCTTGACATATTGTGATATTTTAATGTAACTGGCTGATTGGGATGATGAAGATTGGTAAGTTGAAGTTGAATATGGATCATATTGACTGACTAATGCCATTTGATCATTTGGACAAGATGTTTGGTAGTTAGGCCTGAGGTTTCCTATTGTGGAACCTAATGGTGTAAAACGGTTGGTAATGGCTAAGGCAATCTGGGTTTGTTTCTTATTTTACTGGTGGTGGTAGGGTGGCTGGAAGCTTTTTTTGATCAGTTCTTTTGTCTGTCATTCTTCCTCTGCAAAAATTCTCTAGTTAGGAAATCAGGGATGCAATTTTGGCTACCTTTAATATATTCAATAGGGGTTTATAATAGATGACCAATCTAGGGGTTCCTCTTTCTAATTCTGCATTGTTTTGGACATAGAAAGCAGGACATAACCATGGTGATTTGCTTTTTCTAATTATTTCTTTATTAAGAAGTTCCTGAATTTCTGTTTTGCAAAATTCCATAACTTCTTGACTCATTTGAATTGGCCTATCTTTGGTGGGTATTATCTTTTCATCAAAATCCTTCTTGTAAGGAAGTTTGACAATATGTTGTTTTCTGTGCCAAAAGGCGTTAGGAATATCAGAACAAGTTTCATTTACAAGTTTCTTTTGAAAATTGTCAATGCTTTGTAACAAAAATTTATTTGTTAATTGTTCTTCAATTCTTTTGTAATTAATTTCTTCTTTTAAGAAATTAATTTGTTGTGATTTATTGATGACTAAATTGATGGTTTTTGAAATACTATCCTTTTGTAATTGTCTTGATTTTTTTAGGTTTGTTTCTCTGCAAAACTCAAATGTGAGTTTTGTCCTAACATCCTAGTGGTTATCCGATTATGGTGTACCTTAAAAGGATATGGGAGAGCTATGAAAGGAGGTCCAATAATAACTGGGTCTGAAATGTTTTTTATTAAAACAAATGGGGTTTTGAAACAAACATTGTTTTGACAGACATGAGCTTTTGGAATTTCATATTTTAATTGCATTGGTGACTGGCTTGCAGCACTAAGTATTTTTGTTGATTTATGAAAATACTTAGTAGGAATTAATCATTCTTGAATACAATTCAAGTCTCCTCCTGAGTCAATCAAAGCATTTGCGTCTAGATGAAAGTCTTCAATTATTATTTTGATTTTACAATACCATTCATGGATTCTTATCTTGTCTAGAAGTCCTAAGAATAAATTTTCTACTGATTTTTCTTCAGACGGAGAGTCTGAATTATGACTCGAGGGAGAACCACTGTGTTCTTCATCATTATTATTGATAAGTATTTGTATTTGGACTCTATTGAAATGTGTACGAATTTCTAGGTTTTCTAATTTTAGAAACCTAATTTCATTTTTGATTTTATTGAATTCTCTTTGTAAATCTTTAACTGTAATTTCCTTTTTAGACTTATTGAACATTTCCAAGGTTGTGCTAAGGCTAAATTTGTTGGGAAATTTGGGGTTGACTGGTATTTCTTCTTGAGAGACTAATTTCTTAAGCTTCTGTAAGTAGAATGATTTCAATTCTAGATCATCTACTTTACTGATTAATTTGATAAGAAGATTTTCTTATTCTTCTTGTTTATTGAGGACTAAAATCTTTTTACAACAACTATCAATGCATCATATTTTAATGTCGGGAGATGAAAGACTACTTGAAGAATTGTTGGAAGAAGACAAATTAGAACTTAAATCGTCTTCGGATTGACTACGGTCTGTATCCCTTAATTCTAAGACTTGGATTAACTGTATTTTCTCTTCTTTAGAGATTTTCAGTTGACTGATTGTTTTCTTGACTCGACATTTTTTTGCATAATGATCGAATTTGCCACACTTGTAGCAATTTCCTTTTTGTTCTTGGTTTTTGAAGTGGGATTTTCCTGAGGGTTTCCTCTTCCACTTGCCAGACTTGGGTTTTTCATAAAATTTGTTAGTTTCAAAATTCTTGTTTTTGAATTTGTTGTATTTGAGATGTTCCTACTGGAACCTATTTGAGTATCTATTTGGATACATATTGTAGGCTTCTGATTTTTTTCTTTTTGTTGGATGGAGTAATAGGAGGTAATCTGTATTGTTCACAAAATGTTTCTAATTCATATTTGGCTATTGATTTGTCTTTATTTACTTGTTTACACATTTTCAATCCTTCCTTCTGGATAATATTAATAATATTTCCATAAGTAAGGGTTTGATATGGTATGATACCTTCGTCGTTGACTAAAGCATTTCTAATTTTGTGGGCAAAAAGGTTTGGTAATCCATTGATGAAATTTTCTTTCCCAAATGGTTGATTACATGAAAACGTCTTTGTACCATCTGAAATCACTTAAGGTTGGACATCTTAGATTGCTAAGTTGGTCATGAATTCTAGAAGTGACATTGTTGGGTGTACCTATGAAATGTTCTGCGATGGAAAAAAGTAAGGTGTTGACTGCATCTGGGACTCATTGTCCTATATGCTCATCAAATATGGGTGTTCCATCTTCATCCTTTTTAACTGTATGTTTAATTTCATTTCGTGATTGTTCAGTGAGATGTTTTTCACCAGGAATAAAGCATTCCTGTGAATGCAGTGACCAAAAGGTTGACAACTTGGGTCTGGCTAAGATTATGATTGGTAATATAATTATTAGCAACAATAGAGATGTGTTGTAATTTGTTTAAGGTTCTTGTTCTGATAAATCAAGAGGCCTTGAAAGAAGAAGTTCAGAAGTTGCATAAGAACGTCTTCAACTACAACACCCTCATTCAACACTTTGCTGGCCGAGGGGAAGAAAGCATCAAGAAGGGAGAACACGAAGCCTTTCTTTTATATTGGTATAACAAATTCATTTGCTGTACCAAGTCAAATAAATGTTTGGTCGAGAACATGCCGGTCACTGAGGCGTTAGCCAGTGGTCATATCCTGGCTCTTAGCTCGGCTATCATTGCCAACCTCACACGCTGCCTAGCCGAGACAACGGTCAACAAGATTGGCCCCCACCAGACTGGCCCACTCTAGGTCTTTCAACTCTGGTTGCAAGTTTATTTTACCACCCTCAGGCCAGAAATCCCCAACTTTAGAC